TTAAGGATGGCCTCCTTGATGATTTTTTCTAAGACCATCCCCAGGATAGAGGTCAGGCTGATGGGCCTGTAGTTTGCCGGATCCACTTTCCTCCCTTTCTTGAAGATAGGTACCACATTGGCTTTCTTCCAATCATTGGGCACTTCACCAGAGGACCAGGAGCTCTTGAAGATCTGTGCCATGGGTTGAGCTACGATGCCAGCCAGCTCCTTGAGTACTCTGGGGTGTAAATTGTCAGGGCTGGCTGACTTGAAGGTGTCCAGCCTCTCAAACTGTTCCTTCACAAGGTCAGCATTGATGGAGGGCAAGGAACCACCCTCGCTTAGGCATTCCTCTCCCGTAATGGGCAGGGGTGTTCCATGGGACTTGTGAAAGACTGACACAAAGTACCCACTTAGCAAGTTGGCTTTTTCCTGGGTGTCAGTCGTCAGTTCCCCACTTTTGGTTTAGCAGGGGTCCAAGGTTGCCCTTGCTTTTCCTCCGGCTCCCCACATATCTAAAAAAGGACTTTTTATTGTCCTTGATACTTGTGGCCAGTTGGAATTCCATGGCAGCCTTGGCTTTCCTGGTTTGTTCCCTGGTCCGGACCAGTGCAGAGTATTCCTCCTTGGAGGTGGATTCTGTCCTCCATCCTTTGTAGGTCTGTCTTTTTAGACACAGGAGGACTGCCAGTTCCCTGGAGAGCCAAGGGGGCTGCTGTGCCCTCTTGCTGCCTTTCCTCCGAGACGGAATAGCCTTAGCTTGTTCATCTAGGATCGCTCCCTTGAGGAGTGAGCACTCTTCCTGGACTCCCCTCCTTTTGGGGTCGTGGTCCCTTAGGGCTTCACCAACAAGTCTCCTGACCTTGTCAAAGTCAGCCCTCCTGAAGTTGAGGACCTCTGTACTGCTGACTGACTTGATAGTTTTTCAGTGGATGGTAAAGGTGATCAGTTCCTGGTTGCTGTCACCCAGCTTCCCTTCGATTGTTAAGTCGCTGATTAGGTCATGCCTGGTTGCCAGTACCAGGTCAAGCAACGCTTTGCCTCTTGTTGGCCCGTAGACTTCTTGTCAGATAGAGCTCATCCACGCATGTGAGGAAGCTTTGCAACAGTTCGGATTTGGTTGAGCACTCTTCCCTTGAGATGTCTGGGTAGTTGAAGTCCCCTGTGACAACCATGGACTGGGAACGTGCAGCCTCAGCCAATTCCCTGGCAAACTCCTGGTCAGTCTCCTGATTATGGGAGGGAGGTCTGTAGTAGACTCCCACCATTGTATCTCCTGTGCTGTGTTCCCCACGGATTTTAACCCAGAGGGTCTCTAGTTGTTTACCCTGGGTGCCGATGTCAGGTTGTAGGGATGCATATATCTCCTTGACATAGAGAGCTACACCTCCGCCCCTTTTGTCCACTCAATCCCTCCTGTAGAGGGTATAGCCGTCTATACCCGTGGTCCAGTCATGGGTGGAATCCCACCAGGTCTCCGTTATCCCTATGACATCATAATTATTTGTGTTGAGCAGAAGGACAAGTTCCTCCTGTTTATTCCCCAAGCTCCTGGCATTGGTGTACAGGCACACAAGGGTCCCCTTGGGGGCCCTTGCCTTGCTCACAGCTTGCTCTTGGGCTGGGGCAGGGGTGGGCTCCCTTAAGTGGCTTGGCCTGATGGCTTTGCAAGGGTTGCACAGCCGGCCAGCAGTGGCGGTAGTCCCCCCATCCCCCGGCAGGCTTAGTTTAAAGCCTGGTGGATCAGGTCAGCCAGTCTGGCTGAGAAGAGCCTCCTCCCCAGCGGAGAGAGGTGGAGGCCGTCCCTTCCCAGCAGCTCACTGCCTCTCTCACCAAAGAGCGGACTGTGGTCATGGAAGCTGAAGCCTTCCCGATGACACTAGTGCCGCAGCCTTTGGTTCACTATCTGTATCCTCCTCTCCCTCCTCAGCCCATAGCCTGAAACCGGAAGAATCGAGGAAAACACCACCTGCGCCCCCAACCCCTTAAGCCCCGCTCCCAAATCCCTGTAGCACCTCATGACCCAGCTGGGAGGGTTCCGAGCCATGTCATTGGTGCCCACATGGATGAGGAGCATAGGGTAGTGGTCAGTGGGATGGAGGAGTTTAGAGATCTTCTCTGTAATGTCTTGGATACGGGCTCCGGGAAGCAGCAGACTTCCTGGGCCAAGGGGTCGGGGTGGCAGATTGCCCCCTCCGTCCCCCTCAGGATGGAGTCTCCCACGACAAACACTTTGTGTTTCTTCTTAGGGAGAGCAGGGGCGGTAGCTACAGTTGAGCCTATGTTGCCTGCAGGAGCTGGCAACTCAGCAGGCTCTGCTGGGGCTGCAAGAGGTTGGTACCTGTTGCAAAGGTCCAACGCGGCAGGGGCCTTGGTGCGACGAGCCTTGGGGTCCTTGACCACCTTGGTCCAACCCCGTGACTGGACAGTATGGGAGGTCCCCGGGTCCTCCCTTGTCCTGGAGGGAGACCGTGGTCTACCCTCCGTCTCCCTGGGGGAGAAGGGCCTGGCAGTAGGAGTCTATATTCCTATATATTCCTATATAACTCATGTTAGTTATAAGTATGATGAGGAAAGTGCTTTTCATTAGAAAATGGTTTAAAAATCACTAATATGTTCCCTAATAGCATACCATTTTTTATTGACTAACCAAAACTGTATTTAAATGTTGCACTTCATTCCAGTCTATTTTTCTACAGTAATCCTTATGCTGATTTTGTCATATTCAAGGTAGATAAGGTTGCAGAACAACTTAGAATATATTTGTGGTTTTTAATTGGGAACTAAAATTCTCTCAATTTTCACTTGGCTTTTTACTAGTCTTTCCTCTAGGAATAGTTGGGCCCACTGGTGCCCAGGCTTTTGCCTCCATGGGCCAGATGAGTAGCATGGGGCTGAACCATGAGCTGGATAAAGCCTCATGGGCCAGGATCAGGCCCCAAGGCCTGGCACTGCTCTCTCCCTTTCCCTAGCACCAGGATGAGGCCCTAGGGCCCAGCACCACCTCCACATGCAAGGATTGGGCCCTGGGGTCCTGGCTTTTCTCTCTGCACTTCAGCACTCCAGGATTGGACCCCAAGAGCCTGGCATCATTCTCTCCTGGCTCCCCATACCAGGATTAGGTTTTGGGGCCTGGCACTGCCTTCATCTCACCCTGTGCGCTGGGATCAGGTACCCAGGGGTCCCCATGAATCCATGGAGAGCTGACACATAACATAATACTAGATGACATAATATCATGGGCCAGATCTGGCCCAAGGCCAGGGGTTGAGCATGAGCACCCAGGCTCTTGCCAAATTAGCCTATTTTTACAAGTAGTAAAATTTATATTTTACTATTGCCCCATGACCAAATGAAAAAGGTCCGATCTGTAAACCTATGTAGGGGTCTTAGGAACCCTGATCAATAGGATTTGCACTCCAAAGTCACTTATGCACTTTGAATCTTCCATGCGTATATTCTGTTTTATGACACTTACAACTGTCCTTATTTCTGCATAGACATTGAAGGCATACCATCTCTGGAATTCTGCAAAGAAAATCTGTGCTTCTCAGCAGCAGCAGTTCAAACACAATCATTTCTTTATTGTGAATAATAGGCTTTTCAGTGTTTTTTGGAAGGGAAGATGCAAACAGCACTTCTTTTGACCTTCCTTCTCTGTTTAGGCTCATTATAGAACTATTTTATCTGCTGCATGATTTTTCCTCACTTCCATCAATAAGCAGAATCTTTACAAAGATAATTCAGAAGTAATCCATTATTGCTGTTTCTTCACTTGTATTTTTGCTTCCTGCATATTGACCCCAAGTGCTGTTTGGGAACCAAGCAAGGTTCAAAGAGTCAGTCCCACCAAAATTAAATATTCACAAACATAAGTGTTGATAAATGTTAATAATGAATTTAATCATGAGATCCAGCCAAGTAGCAGGGAGAAGTAGCAGAGGTGACTGGGTCCTAGTGCTCACCCATCTCAGTCTCAAGCCCCTCACTGGAAAATACTGGTCTAATCTGGAGGCCTAGTTCAGGAGGCAAGTCTCCTAAATGATCTCAAATACTTTTTGCCATTTGAACAGTTTTGGTAAGGAAGACCCCCAATTCTCCCTGTGTCCTATAAATAAATATTCCAGTGCTTTCCATAAGTGAATATGCATATTTACAATTTGTATTCTGAGACAGCTGAAGGAAAGGGACATAAGTATTTTTTCCATGATTCTGAAAAAGTTCTCGTGTGTCTGCATACAGTATAAACTCCTCATTAGTAGTCTGACACTACAAGGAGTGGATAGTGGAAAAGGAAGCCAATGCAAAATTCAAGTGAAATGTCTTGTCTCAAAACTTGAATATGACTCTGGTGCCTGATGCACTGCAGGGGCATTCTGAGTTTAGGAGAGTTACTTTCACACTTGCTAAACCCACAAGAATGACAGTACTCACATGGGCCTGTGTTGTATGCATTGACATCATGCTTTACTGTGGGTACATAATACTTGACTGTAAGTTAACATTACAAGAACGTACACTAAACTGACTCAGTAAATGATATGCTCACAAATGAAATTTCACTCATTTTGATCCAAAAATAAACAGTACTGTACCAATTCTGCTCACTTTTGAACCAAAATGAGCCTTGTTGTAATTGATTCTTCAGTTTGCACTGGAACATGTAGTGCTATTAACAGATGACATTGTTACAGGATGGAGAGTACACTTAGAAAAGCTGAAAGGCCAAGAAGCCTGCTTATGTACAAAATAAGAAGAAAACATAATTGTCCTTGAACTGACAATAACATTAGCTCTTCTATTAAAAAAGCACTCACAGCCCTAATGTCATACGGTCTTTTCCTCTTGGCTTTGGAACATTTTCTTCTGCTGTCCCTTCCTTGCTGTCTGACGCTTTACCTCAGTGCTATAGATGTCATGAGATGGAATGAAGAATTTCTCACTTCGTAATTCTCATTTCTTATCTGATACCAACAAAGTTATTTTCTACCCTTATTAGTAGAATTTTAGGCAGAATAATGTATTCTCTTTTAGTATGGCAGGGTAACATTTTTTTAGACTTTTACATTGCAGTTTCTTGGAAATCCAATGTAAATTTAATCGAAGTAATTTAAACTTCTAATCTCAATTTTAAAATTTCCCATGATAGAAAATCCACCATATCCCTTGATAAATTGTCCCATAGTTGATTAGTTTTACTATTAAAAATATAAATAAAAATAAAAATTGTACCTTTTCCAATCTAAATTTGTATTGCTTCAGCATCCAGTGATCTTATGTCACCTAGATTAAAAAAAACACTGTATTATCAAATTAGTCCTTACACTGTGGCATTGGTAACAGTTCTGCTACCACAATTCCCAAGTCCTTTTTTTCAGTCAATTTTTCCCAGTGGAGAGTCCTATATCCTACGTTTTGTGTTCCTTGATGTATGACCACTGGCCTGCAGAATGGGAAAGTGTCTAGTCCAAAAATGTTGTTACTGCTAAAAATGTCCCCCACAATTCTATCCCCCCTCCCGCCTCATGCCTAGTTTATCAAGAAGTCTATATTTCTCTGTATCAGTGACCTTTCTTTCTCATAGAGACCACTCCTTGAATCTATCTCACCTGATTAAGAAACAAATAATTACTTTAATTATGTCCTATTTTGAATCTTATGGTTTCCCAGAAAATAAATTAACCAACTCAAAGTTACGTGTCATATTTTGTCACGCCTACAGTACTTTAATAATAAAATTTGAATACAGTACCATTTCATGAATGATTTATGAATAGAACACATTTAATCCTTCTTGTACCAAAGAAAATGATATTCCATCTTATTTTTGGACATTCAGCAATAAGATAAGATTTAGTTTCTATGGCAATATGTTTATAAAATGCCATGTAAAAATTTCAACAATGTTATCCATTATATCAATATGTAACCTGTGTTTTTACAGAAAAAAAATGATTTCAGACTTTAACACCGTTCACATGATAATGTTGCTGGCTTGGTCTCATTAAACATTATATTTGGCTGAATATGGTGAAAACCAGTTGCATGCATGTTTCCTAAAATGTTTTGACACTTCTGTTTTTCCTAATACTTTATATTTTTTTGTATTTCATACAATGCCAAATTCTGAGAGACAACTAAATCTTACATTGCATTCAGCAACAAGCAACAGGGGCTTAGGTTCTATCAGGGTTCAGGTCTAAGTTTGATGAGTTTTTCAGCCAACCTAAAATATAGATGCATAAAAATATTTCTTTTTTGTGTTTTTTCCCCCCTGTAGGTTTCTTTGATTAGTTTAACAGCTAACGCGTTGGGCTACTCAGAACTTGGTCCAATTAAATCACTTAGAACACTAAGAGCCTTGAGACCTTTACGAGCTTTATCACGATTTGAAGGAATGAGGGTAAGAAAAACGGAAAGAGTAATGCATGCAAAGCACAATAAATTATATAACAGTATAGAAATGATGTACTGAACATCTATTATTGAAACTTTCACTACTATGTTCTATTATACTGCGTTTAAGCATATAAATTATGTGCTTTACCTGTGCTCATTTGTTAATTGAAGTCCTAGCTATTTTTCCACAGAAAGACAAGATGCATTAACGCCACAGTTTTATTAACACTCTTGGGAATGACTAGCAAGCACTCATACAGTCCAGGTCATAAATTTCTTCTTTACCATTCTCTACCAAATGAAGGATCGCTATCAGTCTTTCCTACCCCTTCCCCACACCTCTACAAATAGATACCAACCCACTCTGGGTCCCCAGTGCTCTTTCCTTATTCAGGGGCTGGGGAAAGTGTGTAGTACCTTCACATTATACACATTGGGCACCCAACTCCTTTGAGAAACTCTGTCCCTCATTTCTTAAAGGGTACCTCCTTTTGAGTCTACTTTAAGTGCTCCAATTCCAAGGGGACCAGTTTCTGTAAGGGGACCTGGTTTAAAGAAAAAAGTACCCAGCCAAAAGGAGACATCAGCGATTAGCTTGTGTGCTTCTGCCTCCAGCTTCATAGCAGATAATTAATAGTTCCCTTTCTACTGTTAGCCAAAGAGTTATCTGTGCCCTGGTCAGAGATGTTGTTCTCCATCACACCTGAATGCCCCAGATACCAAATATGGTCTGTTCATGTGTAATTACTAAGCCTTCCCATTCCCAAAGGTTCATGTCTTCTGGATTTGTCAATTTATGAAAGTCTGGCAGGTTCCTGACATATCCTCAGTTTCATCGAGTCAAACCACTTTTCAGTCATCCCCACGAAAGGTACTGGACTTAGCTAAAATTTTCTAGTGCCACCTCACAAAATTTGAAATAATTTTTACCCAATTTTATAAGAATTATTTCTGGTGACTAACTACCAAAGAGAGTCAATAGCTCATCCCAGAGCATTTCCCTTTGCTATGCCCACTCAGACTGAGATGCCTGTGAGGTCCAGCTCTGAGTCTTCAGAGAACCTGCCAGCCTATGTGTGGGTCCAGTGTACAATACCTTGTTTATGGATCCAAATACCAGCTTTCATGACCTATTCCCATCCCAGCCCTGCCATGCACACCACTCACTTCCCAGCTTTTTCCATGTTGCATATGCTCTTAGTCTGGGAGAAGTGTGGGGGGAATTGCTCAGCTAGATCATCAGCTGCCCTGGGACTAATTCAGTTCTCACCATCTGCTGGACTCAGACACAGGCTGTCTACTACTGCCTCTGCTATCCTGGTTGCTCTATGATCCTGGAGTGATTTCAGCTGGGATTCATTGGGCTGTCACTGTAGTTTTCTGCAAAATTTGTCTCTCAGTGGTACTGATTAAGATCCTCTTAACTCCTTAAAAAGAATTAGAAGCATTGTCAAATCCTGTTGGCTGTCAAATGAAATCCGTAGCAAAGAAAAGACAACAATTATTCTTTTTTTTTCTTAAGTAGTTAATCACAGTAATTAAAGTATGCTGACCACAAAAGAAGCCATTTATCAAATATGCCTAAATTTAAGATATGCAGATCTTTTTATTACACAAATGGAGTGACTGCGCAATTTTCACTCACAAAAATTAGATATGATTAGTATTTTTCTTTACTTACTATTTTTCTTTCAAGGTTTCTTGCAGGCACCTCCATTTAGTGCCATGCAAAATGCTTCTTATTTGGTCTGCTTTTGTTTTTCAGTAACTGTTGTCATCTTGTTCTCAACAAAATTCTAAGAGGGATATAAACCTAACTTCACTCTGTACTGCCTTGCTATGTTTCTATAGTGACGTGGACTAATGTTCAGGATTCTGGCCCTGATTCATAGATTCATAGATGTTAGGGTCAGAAGGGACCTCAATAGATCATCGAGTCCGACCCCCTACCACCTCCCTTGGGAGCCCGTTCCAGACCTTGGCCACTCTAACCGTGAAGAAGTTTTTCCTAATGTCCAATCTAAATCTGCTCTCTGCTAGCTTGTGGCCATTATTTCTTGTAACCCCTGGGGGCGCCTTGGTGAATAAATCCTCACCAATTCCCTTCTGTGCCCCCGTGATGAACTTATAGGCAGCCACAAGGTCGCCTCTCAACCTTCTCTTGTGGAGGCTGAATAGATCCAGTTTCTCTAGTCTCTCCTCATAGGGCTTGGTCTATAGGCCCTTAACCATACGAGTGGCCCTTCTCTGAACCCTCTCCAGGCTATCTGCATCCCTCTTAAAGTGTGGCGCCCAGAATTGCACGCAGTACTCCAACTGCGGTCTGACCAGCGCCCGATAGAGGGGAAGTATCACCTCCTTGGACCTATTCGTCATGCATCTACTGATGCACGATAAAGTGCCATTGGCTTTTTTGATGGCTTCGTCACACTGCCAACTCATGTTCATCTTGGAGTCTACTAGGA